TCTTGCCTTTCATTGAAAGGCCCATAGCAAAGGGTGACTACTATTCTGCTATAACATTTCTGTGTCCTGAAAAAAAAAGATAGAAAGTTGATTGATAAGAGTAGAGTAATATTGCTGTAGGCACAACATGAACTTTCTATGTATTCTAGATGATCCTTGGATGGGGACAGTTTAAAGCAACATATACAGTAACTACTTTTGCTTACAAATACAATATCAGGATTGTTTCAAGCATTTGTGTGTATAGTGAGTTTTTTTTACCTTCAGTGTAGTCATAAGACAATTTTTCTAAAATAGATATTCTCGTTATTTCTTTCCATTATTTATTTGAGGCTCTTTGCCCTTTATTTCATTTTTGGATTATTGTTCAGTGGTATATGTAGTGTGGATAAGATAAGGCCACACCAAGTTTTTTGGAGACCCTAAATCTAATGCGAGAGGGTGAGAAAAAAACAAGAAGGGCCCTAAAAAACAAGATGCCTAGATTAGAAATATACTAAGAGATGACAAATTTTAGGACACAAATTGAATGAGGTGACACAGTGTAACAAGCAAGAAGTCTTTTATTCATCATCAAAACAGCAATAAATCAGGTGGAACAGCAGTTGTCGTCCTGTCCTGTTTTCGCTTTACGGGTTTCACGTCAATTAATCTGACGATTGGCACTGTCGTGACTCTTTGGTCATAGTTACAGGAAGCGGAATTTCTTGGGGTTTTTTTCTAGGAACAGGCCAAAATCAATGCGCGCGCGGACGTCATCCATAATATTTACTTGGTGTGGCCTAAGAGAAAATACTCATCCTTTTTTTTAATGTAGTACATAGATTTTCTTTGTGAAAGAAAAAAAAATCAGGTTCCTTATATTTGCATGAGTGAGAAATGACATGCTTTATTGTGAAGCCGTCTGAAAGTGATAAGAGGAATCTGATCTTGTTTTACTACACGTCCTTGTGCCCGACACGATGAAATCTTATCTCCCAATACTGCTGAAAAGGAGCTCACTCGACTCTCTGAAGTGAAATATGGCCTGCTCCTATCACTCTGTGCACTTCAGTTAGGCTAAATGTAAAGTTATCGCTGGTTCACACCTATTACCATAGCTAACACCAATTCGGCATTCTTGGCTCGTAAATCTAAGGTCTTCTTTCGCTGGTGGTTTACCCCCGCGTAAACCTAGGTGTGCTCCATGAAATAGTTATGGTTGCCGGGACGACTGTATCGTGCCCGAAGCTATCGTCTCTACCCCGCTGGTTTGTTTATGACTGACACCGTCAAACTGTTGTAATAAGTGTTCCTATCTGAGGGGGAAGGTTAGCGTTTTATTACAAGGGGGAGCGAGTTATTCCCATACGTCACATAAATGGTAGACATGGAGGCTACCATAATTAATGAGGAGCGTCCATACATCACGATCCCTCACTCGGCCCCGATTTTGAATTGATAGCCATTTCTGGATAATTTCATTTTTCTCTTCTGCAGGATTTGTGGAAGGGGCGGCGTTTTACGGGAGGGGTACGACTGAGAAGTTATAACGCAATTTTCCATAACACGGCCGTCGTAAATTAGCTCAACTCCCCATTGGGATAAATCATACAAGCGTGCAGGTAGTCGTATTAACATGTGAGATTTAACAACTAGGAAAGGTGAGAGGTTAAGTGGCTTGAATTAAAAGACAATTCATGGCATTCTTGGGGGGAAAATAAAGCCTTGTTAGGTAGAACAAGTGTTCAAACTTACAACGTGTGTCTTCTAGCCGTGCCCTCCATAAGTGCATGGATGTGACAAAAAGGGGTCGCTCACCGGACTAAAGTCCACAGTCATTTGTATCCATCAAAACCTTAATGTAATATTTTTTGACCCACTTCTGTCCAAAGTGGATTTTTCATGGCTATCCTCACAAATTTCCAACTTCTCCAAATCGGCCATTATTTTTAGTTGTGAAGAATTGGCTTCATCTTTGTTATAAAGTACCAGGCAACTTTCATCAAGCCAGAAATTTCTTTGGAAAATCCATTTTTTAATTCATTGAATTTCGTTATGGGCATAATTTCAGAATTCTGCACTTAACTGGATGCTTGTTTGTCCCACAGTATCATGTACCTACAAGGGCAGGCCTTTCCGAAGCCAAAATATCATGAAGTCGTGGTATGTCTTTGTCTGTTCTACTTTCATACGAAAACTTGTGCAAGCCGGCATTACCTCTGAGTTGTGTGCTTCGATTTATCAAATCCGTCTGTACAAAAAGTGGAGCTTTTGTGGCAAAAGGGGGTTCTATAAAAGACTTGAGAAAGCCTTTGACGCCTCTGATTCAAGTGTCCGCCGTGTATTTTATCAGTATCGCCCATCAACTCCATCACTGCCCAGTTCAAAAGGTCAGGATGTACTGAAAAATAGAGATGGAAACGATAGCCAAGCATCTGTGCTCTACTGATTCATCACACCTCCAACCCCGGAGCATTTCTCTCCCAGTCAGTGGAGAAAAATTTCAGGCATGAGTGAAATACAAAAGGGTGGGCTGTAATTGCTTTGTTTGTAGGTTCTACCGGGGTATTCAGCGACGTGGGCTATTAAAGATCCACCCGCTGTGTCTTCCCAGGTGTAAAAAAACACCTGGTACAGAGTGCTGCCCTGACCTCTCGCTGACCCCAATGCTGCATCGCTCATAGCTTCATGCATTTATTCATTCCCCTTATCTCCACTGTCCCCTTCCAACTCTCATTTGTGCCGGGGTTTGCCGTCTCCAGCTGACATCTATCACGCAGCTTTGCCGCGGCGTTTCGCCGAATTTGTCTGAACGAGAGGGTTATCCGCGTCTGATTGTGTTTATTTGCAGGTGGCTGCCTGCGTTGGATTGGCGCTCCATAATGCACATTTTGTTGTATAAACCACTGCTTGTGTAAGAGTGCCTTCCCCGGGGACTGTGGATAATGAGGCACACCCCGGCTTTGAATTATGCACAGGCTCCTGCGCTTTTCTCCTAATTGCGAGTAGTTTGTTTTTGTGTTATTCTCTGAGGTCCAAGCAGCTCCCAAGTGTGTGGGATGTGTATAAGAATATATTACAGTGGCAGCCTCGACCATATCTGGGACGTACATAACTGCTTCGTTTAATTAACGCAGTCTTCTTCAACGTTACCCAAGTATGAAATGCCATGCGTTGTCATGTCAAAATATGACTATAGTCAGCACTTCAAATGCGGTTTCTGTCTATATTGGATTAAGGAGTTTCAAACGTGAGTGGATACAAGTGATAAAGACGGATTAAAAGAATCACATGCGGATTAAAACAGCACAAAAAACTGTGTTGATTTATGAGAAAATGCCTTGAAAGTTGACAACAAATGCAGGAATGGTTTTTACAAACTCATTTACTGGAAAGCAGTATCCATCTGTGATACATTTAAGTCCTCTGTAGCCTGTTCCTAAAATGAATACAGAAATTCCATCTTTTCCATTAATATGTTTTTTAAATATATTATTAAGTCATCTAAATTGCCACAGAAATTTCCACATTTCTAGCATGCATATTCCAGTCCCAAATGCTTCAGTTTTTTTTTTTTTCAAAGTAAAGTTGATTGTTACACATGTACAGAGAGCCAAACACCTGTTACCACTACCCAGAAGCTGACTGCACAGTAGCAGGTAAGGTATTGGCCTGTCAATCAAAGGGAAGTGCTACCTATCAATCATTCAGCAGGCCCTGTCACTGACAGCTTGATTGATGACGATGACAACCAAGGGACCCATCCCTAATTGTCAAAACTCTTATTTTAACTGTTTATTAGGCCACACCAATTTAATTTCTTGGTTAACGGATTTTTCAAGAAAAAAAATGGAGCGAGCGGGCGAAAAAATAATAAAAATTAAAACAGGCCTAGGCATCCTATTATGGCCCAAAATGGTACGATAGGAGCCATGAAGTCAACATACCAGGCTGGTTCAAAATTTAAGCAATGAATTTTGAACTTTTGATTATACCATTGCATTGAAATATGGAATAACTTTAACAACCAGGATGAAAAGAACTGTTTTTAACTGTTCAGGGCAAAATATGAGCATTTTGCAGTTGATTCTGAATTTTTATTTTTATTTGCAAATCAGAAAAAAATGAAGCGGCGAATCCGTTAACCAAGAAATTAAATTGGTGTGGCCTTATCTAAGATTACTTAACCTGGCCTCTTCACTGTGATGAGTATGGAGATAAAATGTAAAGTATGTACCTGTTGTAAAACTTTGAAAGTTTACAGTCACTTTACTATGCTGGATTATCTGTGATGCACAGCAAGTATTTGGTCATTAATGTTGCAGATTAGTTGATTTTTTGCTTCAAAATTGTATACTGTTTATTGGTATTACAATTATTACAATATAAATGTACAATTTCTATAGAAAGAATGGTAAGAGGTATGTTAAAGGTTGAATTGGAATCAAAAAGAAGAAGGATCTTCAGAGAATTCAAATCAGAATGGAAAAAGTTCAGAGTGTCATAGAAAAAGGATGTCACAAAGTTGTACTGAAATGCTTTTGATTTAGTTTTGATACTGGCTACATCACATTGACTGAACCTTTGAATTTTTCTCCTAGGAGGACTTGTATTCTGGGTTGAAGTAGGGGCACCTGTAACTCTGTTAGGCCACAGTAACAAACTCACTAGGGTGTCCCCAACACAAACAAACTGTTAACCTTTACATGACCAGATGTCTTGGACATGATAAATCAAGGTGGTACGCTTTTCCTCAGGCAGATTGGTGTGCTGTAGAAGAAGTACTCAGTGACCACGGTTTCACCTGACTGATAGCCGCCGTTGAAACGTTACACAGTCACTCTTTCGTCCTCGTTTGCTTTTTCTTCATTTTTGTTTTCATAGCTTTTGTGAACTTCGTTCTTCCAGAAGAAATGTGCGGGGTGGAACATAAATCAGCGGCACGGGCAAACACCACAGGAGGGAACAGGCGAATCTGTTCCCAGGTATTTGTGGG